TGCAAAACTTTTTGCTCAACCGAATATGTCTGATTTCTAGTTGGTGGTTTGGAGTTCAATGCTTCTTTGGCGCCGCAGGTTGTGACTCCACTTCAGGTACCAGAGGAACTATATGTATTCTCATGCACGTTTTATCCTTTGTTGGTGGAGCCAATCTACTGAGACACGCCGAGGGAGCCACTTGGCTGGCTATTGTCACGGTAAGTGAACGATTTGATACTCATACTCTAGGAATTTTTTTCTTTCAGCTAGACACTCAGATTAAATTTAATTCTCCACGATTGTGGAACAGTTGCATTCGAATACGAGTATACTTTGATTGCGTGCCGTTAGATAAAAACAATTAGACAAATTAAACTTATGTTGGTGGAGCCAATCTATCGAGACACGCCGATAATCTAGGCATCATTTTTATCTTTACCTTGGCGCTCAATCGTGGAATAGGCGTATTCAAGCACATTTTAATTGTTAGCCGGGTGGTAAGTAGGAGGACTATTTCACGTGGTTTCCATGTGGGAACGCAAGGGAATCAGTCGTCGCCAACATTGTTTAGAGGGGGGAGAACATTGACTGGCAATTAACTTGCACTGAGGGGAGAATATTACAAAGCTTTATAGGGGGATCAATTAAACTATTTATCGTTGATCGGTCTTTAAAGAATATTAGAGAAAAGATAAATGCACCACTAGCAAATGAACCAAAGTAAAAACAAGCTAACCGTTTGAAGTGCAGAAAAATGCAATTGAAAAGGTCGCCATCAGTGTCGGTAATGGGATACTGTCCAACATTTCCTCTTGGTTTAAATTTCATATCTGATTGATTGAGAGTGTGGCGCCTGTTTTCCAGTCCACAGGTTGATATAAAACACATACCAGTGTAATCTTGGTTTAATGTTTAAACCCAGTCAAAGTCTCCTCTATCAACGTGTGGTTTGTGAAGTACGGTACCACTTCTACGGGGAGTGAAGTTAGTTAGGCGTATAGGAAATAGTTAAATGGGTAACCTTGGAACTGAGAACATGAAAGGTGATGAGAAGAAATCTATTGTTGATATGTAGCCATTGATGATGAAATCATTTTATCTTCATATCCTGTAGTCACTGGTCACGCCACTGGGCTTCATTTTCTGGACATTGTTCAACGAAACACCATTCAAATGGCACCCCGCAAGTCACGTGAGCACTTGGTTCAGTATCGGTGCGTTAGCCATCATGGTTCCCGCCATTTTTGTTTACAACATGGGGTAAGGAAAAATGTCAACCGTATTCATCTGTTGAAATGCCGCGGCGTTTACTCAATTATTAGTGTTGTGTTATCAATGCCCACCAACCCCCCCTCCCCCCTCCCCCCTCCCCCCTTGCCCCTCTCCTTCAAAACATATTATGAGACGAGCGAAAACCGACCGGTTTCTCACGATGGCGTTTACTTCTCCTCTTTATCGCAGGGCACCAGAGATTTCGCTAGACACAAATAAAAATCAAAGTGGGGAGTATAACTCAGCGCTAGAACCAGAGCAACCTCTTCTCTGCAGCACGGAAAGCAGACTTTGAAAGACTTAAAAGCAGTTGCAGTTAGACCAGAAACTGTGTTTCAAGGATGCTTGTAAACAGCATTCATTTGCAAAGTGCTAACAGTTCGTCCGAAAAAAGGGGACAAGATCTGATTTTATCGCATGTTTAGAAAGAGATCCACAGCACAATTTGTTACTTAAAGTGTGGATTTCTCCACATTAATTTCAGATTAGCTTCTACATGATATCAAAGCAGTATGGCTAGGTTAACAGACAGATAAAGTATATTTCAAAAAACGCTGACCCATGCTAGGTTAACAGACAGATAAAGTATATTTCAAAAAACGCTGACAAAAAAATATGATTATAAAGTGCATAAGCAAATACGAAAAAAACTGGTGTGGATGAGTTTGCGATTGATTGAAAAAAATTGTATGTGTAATTTAACAGTATTGGTGTAAATGCTTGTGTGGTTCTTGAAAAATTAAAAGAAATTAAAGCAGTTTGCCTTTTAAGGCCAGCGTGAACAATTTTATTGATTTTTTTTTTCTTTTTTTATCTATTCCATTCCTACTTACAGTAATTTTTGGTCATCTTAATCCTTACATGGCGACATTTGCAGTTGCACACATGTTAGCCTTTTTATTCTATCAGCGCCGTTGTGTGCACAATCATGTCCAGTGTGGCACTGCGATACTGCTACAGTTGACCAAATATTAATCGTAGGAGACAGGATGTACTTGAATATACTTGAAAGTTAAAATATTCCAGATACAGAGACGTCGTTCCTAATTTATTTGCCAAATGAAGCAAATGAAAGAAGTATAAAAATCCCAGGTTCTTCACATGTTGAATAATACTATGGAACAAACAAATAAACAAAGGCTTATTCCTTTTCGGCTTTATCAACGTCATGAAGCCTGGATTCCACAAATTTCCTTCATCCCTACTCTAATTCACATAGACACCATTATGGCAAAACATAAAAACATGTTTTTATTCCTAAAAGAAAGACAAAGCTGATTTGTTACCCTTGAATAACCCCGTGTTTCTTTGACAACTTATTAGTATCAACGAAATGTCTCTTTCTAGTTATCTATCTTGGGATCAAGCCTTAAGAAAAACAACAAGATTATCTATAGAAAAACGATGCAGGAGATTTCGTTGGAGAAAAGTGCATTGAAAGAATATGACTATGCATGAATACATTTAAGGACTTCATCAACGAACAAGTCCTTTAGATCACTAGACACTTTGGATGCTGCTGCTGAGTTGAGCTACGTGCCTGTTGTGACAAAAATAGACCTATTTTTAAGCTTTGCCCGGCGAAATGGCATCTTGTGAATTACAGGATTTTATCAACCCAACATATCCTTTCGTGTTTCTTACGGCTTTATCCTTAGACAAATCCAGCCAGCAAAAGACATTTCGATGTTGATGATAAGTTGTCATAGACACCCAGGGTTACTCAAATCTCAAACTAGCCTTGTCTCTGTTTTAAGAACAAGACGTACTTTTATATTTTGCCAAATTTGTTTCTTGTGAGTTCAACAGTGATGCGACAATTTTGTGCAAGTTGATCTTTGCGACGTAGATAAAGCCGAAAAGGGATAAATTTTATTTGTTCCACATCATTGCTGAACATTCTATGAAGAGCCCAGGATTTTTAAGATCATGACACAATTTAATTAACATATTGCGACCTTGCAACCGTATAATGTCATATTCAAGTATTTTCCCGAGGCCGAGATCTTATCCGGCAGAGAAGAGTAAAAAACCTTCTCTCAAAATCAGTGAGAGGGGTTTCTCTCGAGAATAATGCGCTTTGAATAATCACCAGCCGGTTCTTCAAAAATGAATTCTTCCAGTATTTCTTATCCGATTTATGAAGATAGTGATATGTCAAGCATTTCCAAACATTTCGATTCATCTCGCCCAACCTCACTTCATCGAAAACGAAATGTGGTTAAGATTGGATTCTGCGAAATTCGTCTGTACTGGGCAAATTTGTTATTCGCTTTTGTCGCCATAGCCGGCAAAGTCGTAGAAAACGTTTCCCTTCCGCTCTGGATCGACTCCGTAAATGGAAATCATTCGGGAAAATCAGTCGACAGTTACTTTGTGCTGTCTTTTGCGAGTTTGTCTTTTGTCATAATATTTGGACTGGGAACATTGTTCATTAAAATCTTTTCGCCACAAGCTCTCGGCGAAACGGAAAAACGTTTTCCACGCCTTCTGCTCTTCTTCGTTGGCTTCTGTCACGCTTTGAGTGGAGCTCTAGTTGTATTCGCTAGTAAAGGGTCAAGAACACCGCCATACCTTCAAGCGATTCTTGGAAATTTCCTGATTCCTTGGACTATTCTATTCAGGTGAGTGGATTCTAAACAGCATAAGATGTTATTCAGCTAATAACACAGGCATACTCGGATATAGGAAGTCATAGTGCTGCCAATATTACGACCCTTCGATTAGCACTTCGGATGCTCTTCCACTGGGCTTCAAGTAGTCCTTAGGTCCTTGGTGACAAACTTCAACTGGCATTACAATGTACTAAAACTGCAATCCGACGATCTACCGATACCGCTTTGGTTACGCTGCGTTGACGATACATTCACCGCCGTACAACACGACGAAATCGACGCATTCCACCACCACCTTAACGGACAAAACTCTGACATACAGTTTACCAGAAAGGTCGAAGAAAATGATAAACTACCTTTTCTAGACTGCTTGGTAAGCCGTGACGACAACTCACTACGGACAACAGTCTATAGGAAACCAACACATACTGACAGATTACTGGACGAGTCATCCTACAACCCGACATCACACAAAGCCACAACTATCAGGACAGTTTATCCGACGAGAGCAAGTACCTTGACCTTGTGTTTTTTCAAAGAACAACTATAACAAAGACTTCATCCGACGAAACACTCACCGACCTACTTATATTACCGAAGCCAAAGACAACGCGACTCCTACGACTACAGCAACTATACCGTACATAAAGGGCATATCTGAGAACATCTCGTGCATCTTACAACCATTCAACATCCGCGTCGCTCACAAACCCATTACCACACCACGTCAATTACTGACTAACGTCAAAGACCAAGACAAACAGAGGAACAGACAGGGTGCAGTTTCTAGAATCAATTGCTCCGCCTGCCATGCCTCCTACATCGATGAGACTGGCAGAAACCTCACAACTAGACTGACTGAACACAAACGAGCGACGAGGAAAGGCGATGTCAACAATCACATTGCTGAACATCACCGACTTACGAACCACACTATTGAGTGGGACTCTGCGTAATGCCTAATCCACAGCACCAACTACTTTCAACGACTGACTCTGGAAAGCTGGTTTACTAACTTGGAACAGAATCCCCTCAACAGGTGTCAACCACTACCGGCACCATACAAACGACTCATCCACGACATTAACATTACAAACGAACCGAACAGAACGACCTTCCAAGAATCGCTGGAAGGTATGGTTGATGTATCATCTTTGAGAAAGTCTTAGAGTAAGTCACTTTCATTGTCTCATAGATCACTTTGCCTTAGTTATTTTACTTCCACCATCATGATTGTCTTTACATGTTCAATTTTAAAGAACTCTTCCTCTTCCACTGGTGTGAGGCCGGCCCCTTCCTTCTTTCAGACATCTAGGGCCTTCACGATCTTCATCATTGAAATAGTAGCCTTTCAATATGTGATACCTGAGAAAACAGGGCTCCAGGCAATTGTGTACTCCACACACTGCACAGCTATAAAGGGTATCAACATGCTGAAGGTGAACCTTGCAAGTAGATCTTTTGTCATAGCTCACCAGGTGGTGAAAGTGTTCTTGATTACCATAAATCTAATTTCAGGAGTGGGCGGTTAGGGTTAACCTAACCATAACCCAATCAACTCACTTATCAATGACTCTCTGAAGTCTAAAGCAGTTCTAGTGGTATGATTTGAAGATTTTCTTTCCAAAATATGTGCATTTGAAAGGCAAACTTCTATGAGATAGAGAAAATCTTATAATACCACACAGCACCTCTCATTAGCCTTGCATACAAGCTAGTTCTCTGATCACAGATATCAACACCACCCATGAAGGCATTACACAGGCTAACCATACCAGGGCGGGCAAATTTTTGCTTCACCTAGTGGCTGTTTACCTTCACTGATCTTTCCACAACACCGGAATCATCTTCACTTGTGGATACAGTGCCTGAGGAACTGACAGGTTTCCTGTCATGCAATGTCATGCAAGTCAAAGTACCTTTCTGTCTGTAAAGGGACTCTCCTCTTTCCAGACTTTTAACCTGGTTTGACTTCACATCACAAATGTCTTTGGGCAGTTATAGCCTGTTGGACCTCACAGTGCCACAAGCCAGAGTTTTCTTTCTCTCAAGTTCCTCAAATAATCCAAGAGAAATGTAATAGTTATCCATAAACACGTAGTAGTCTTTGTCAAGGAAAGTTTCCATCAATGACATAACAGCCCTTTTTCATAGATCTTTCTGGACTACATTGGCTTCCTTTCCAGTGTATACCTTTCTCCCTAGAACATAGCCTCTGGTTGATTCAGCCGGTGTAAAGGCCTTGACTCCAAAACTGCTTAGTTTTATGGGGATGAATTGCCTAAAATGAACTTTCCCTTTGAATTTGATCAGGGTTTTATCTACAGCAAGTTGCCTCACGGTACTATAAACTTCCCTAAAGCTTTGTATAATCAAATCCAGCAGAGGCTGAATTTTGTATAATTTGTTGAAATTTGGTGAATCAGGCCTGGGAGTTAGGGAATTATCAGCAAAGAGAAGATAGCACAGAATCTGAAGAAATCTTTTTCCTGACATAGTGGTACCAAACAGTGGGGTGGACAGCATGGGGTCAGCACTCCAGTAGGAAGGGATATTTAGCAACCCAACCTTTCATTTCTTCCACAGACACTGGATACCACACAGACTTTTCTGCAGCTCCTCGTTTCTGATTTGCATACAGATTAGTCTGAGAAACTAGCCACTCCCATACCTGAGCAGTGAAGAACATCAAAAAACCCTTTGCTTGGCGTCAAAGATCTAATGTTTACATTTGCTGCCAATCCCACGAGTCCACGGAAATCAATATCATCCCTTCTTGTTATTTCATCGCTCCATGCCAATACTATTTCTCCGTGCTCTAGGTATTCATCTTCTTCACTTTCCAGGTCTTCTGACCCGTCCCCACTAGATGATGCCAAATCATCGGAGTCAATCTCTTCTTCCGACTCGGGATGCTCCAAAACACTAATACGAGCCAAAGGCAAATTGTCTTCGTTGATGAATTCGATTTCCAAATCGTTTTCATCGCTTCCAGTCGCACATAATACTTAAGGAGATATTTCGCACGCCGTCATTTAAAAAAAACAAC